TAATAATAATTATAGTAATAATAATGATGATACATTTCTTTTATCGGCTACATTTGTTGGTTGTGTTTTTCTGAGTGACAATCATTGAAGCACACACTTCTCCTCTTTCTTGGCCATCTTTCCTTTGTTCTGCTCCAGCGTCCTCTCCAGGTGCTCGTCCTCCTCCTCGGCCCTGCAGAGGGTAAAGGTCAAAAGGTCAGATGAGTCTGGGGGAAGCGGGGAGGTGGCGGCGCACACACACACACACACACACACACAGGTAACACAGTCGTGCCACGGCAACCGTCGCCGTGCCGCCTGCGGAGTGGCCGGGCGCCAGGGGCCGAGCGCTGACCTTTCACCCGCCTGGCACCCTGTTGGCAGACGGTGCCGCCAATCTGGAAGAGATCCCGTCCATGCAGGTGTGCCTCCACCGCCGTGCATGCAGGATGGCTGCAGGCTGGCTGGAACGCAACATCACCTGCAATGTGTTTTCACTATGTCTGCAGTGTCTGGGGGACCTCTGGAAATTTAAAGATAGGCAGCAGACGCTCTCGCACACACTCACCAAAGGCGGTTGGATATTCCCAGACTGAGAGGAAAAACTAACTCCGACAGAACTCTGCGGGGCTGAAGTGTATTTCTGTATTTGTGGGTAACTTACTGTTTCTCCTGGGCATCCAGGTCCCTGACCAGTGCGTCCCGTTTGTTGACCAGTATGACCAGCTCATCCAGCAGCAGCTGCTCTCGTCTCTTCTGGGCCTCCGTCTTCTGCCAGTCTGCAACGACAGCAGAGTAACAAACCCATTCAGACCAGGAGACACTGAAGACAACTGTTTTTTTTCCATAAACCTTGAGACACTTTGGATCACAGGTTGTTTGTTCTTGTCCTGTCAGGAACTCTGGACTGCAGGACAGAACAGACTAAACGACCTCACAGCTCACTCCAACCTGAAAGTAAAACATTTCTACAAAATGCTGAATGAACTCGGATCCAACAGGAATAGAAATGTTCCTTCTGAGCACTTCTGCTTTTCAAACACTTTGGACGTGGCTCCACCTGCATTCAGCTCTTCTGATTAAAGGAAGAGACTTTAATGTGACTACAGCACAGGACGGACAGGTTGTCTCAGTTTGGTAAAAGTTCATCCTCTTATTAACCTGCTGGACTGTGTACAGATGGACACCAGAGCAGTTCCATGTATGGACAAGTGTGTAGATATGACGTGTAAACACACTCAGGTCAGGTTGTGTGTGTGTGTGTGTGCACAGTGAGGATGTGTTGACTCGAGCAAACACACTTGAAGGATATTGTCATGTTAATCTGCAGCCTTATGCACACACTCAGATATGTAAAGAATTCCCACAGGAAAATGCTGCTAGTATAAAGTTCTCAATCCTATTTAAAAATGTGTGTATGTATGTTTAACTTCCTGTCAATCAGTTTTATAGGAATCTCCAAGTATAACTGTTTCTGCTGTGTTCTGTTTTGTCTTGATGTTTGATCTTTTTCCTTTCATTTTTTTTATTTTAGCCCATAAAGTTTGAAACTATTATAAACTGTTATACAATTATTTGGTTTTGGTCCATTTTTGAGGTTAAAGTGTGAAATTCTGTGAGTTTGTTTCCACTTGTTTAATATTAGAAATGACCGGCTTCAGTCTTCATGGTCCAAAATCGAAATAAATATAATCATCTGAAAGTCAACACTCGGTTTGTTCCTCAGATAAATAAACAAACAAACAGGTGAGCCCCTGACTCTCGTCTCTCAGTTCTCCAGGGTGTTTGCAGGAAGGGGCCCCACAGGGCCCCACAGGGTCCAGGTGGGACCCTGAGCCAAATCCCCTCAGCCTCTCCCTGGAGGGGAGGGGGGATGCCCACAGGAGAGCACTCACTCCCCCTGGGGCTCAAATATCCGCCTGGCGCCCTTGGCTCCACATTCACCCAACACCGGAGCAACACTCCTCCCTCCCTCCCTCCCTCCCTCCGTCCCTCACCCCTAAAACTCACCCCCAAACCCTGAACAGTGCTTAAAGAATGATGTCATTACAACTAGTTGTTTTTCACTTATTTTTTGTACAATTTAAACAACAATCCAGTTTTTACTTCTTATGTAAAACTGGACAGCTTGTGGTGTATAATTAGATTAAACTTTATTGTTACCAGTGCAACAAAAATGCAGTTTGGCATCATCTTAAATCCAACTGCACTGAAACATGTTCAGATGAAACATCTCAGGTTGACAAACTGTCACTGTCCAACAGCTAAAGGAAGGCAGGCGATCTCCAGCTACTCCTCAAATCAGTGTGAGAACATGTCGCCCTAAAAAAACGTCCATCGTTTGATATGAAAAAAATCCAATCCATCCCCGAGAGGTTTCAAACACAGCTGAGACGTGTGAAACTTCTCGCGTAGGCAACTTCACCCCTCTATCAATATTTAACTGCCTATTGATTGAGAATAAAAGGAACGTTGTAAAATGTCAGTCCCAAAATAAGTGCGGCTTTATTAAAAATAAATATTCGCCCCCTCCTCATTGAGTCAAATTGCGGCAGTCAGGCTGTGTGTGTGTGTGTGTGTGTCACGCTGGGCCCAGTGTGTTTGTCCTGAAAGGTCTGCGCTCTCTTCATTGGCCCCGCTCGTCCCTTTGAAGTCGACCACAGAGCGAAATGAACACAGTCCCAATATTTGGCTCTCTACGTTCTCCTCTTCCTTTCTCTCTCCCTCCCTCTTTTTTTCTCAGGGAAGCAATTTTACTCTCCTCTAGCTTTTGATGGGGGAGTCGACAAATAGTTCATAACAGCCAAATATGTCTAAATCTGTATCCGAAAAGTGTTTTTGTTTCATTTTTTTAAAAAGACAGAGAGGTGGTTTAGGGAGTGGGGACATCACAACAAATTGTGTCAAGAGAAAAGAAAAGCAGGTGAGTCATCATCTTTAGATAATTGCGAGACAGGAATGTGTGTATCCATATCTGCCATAACTCCCACAATTCTCTCTCGACAAGGCCGGCCCACAAGAGGAGGGTTCAGTAAGAGGGGGAAAAAAAACTTCCCACAGAAACAGAGAGGTATGTAAAAAAAAGAAATAAAAATCTTTGGTCTTGATCCTGCACTCGTCCTTCAGAGCACATCAGCCAAGAAGCCAAAGTCCTGGTCGACCCGGGGAGGGGTGGCGGGTTACGGAGGAGGGGGGAAGCACACTGCTGTCAATCACATGTCGCAGAGTCCCGCCCCCCTCATTAGGAAGGTAAACAATAAAGAGAGCCGATGAGAGACGTGACCAGGCAACACCAGAGCAGGGCAGGCTGGGTAACCAGACACCCAGGAACAAACAAAACACCCTGCAGCCACTCAGCATCAACCCCCCCACCCTGTCCAAGTAGCCCCGCCTCCCCCATCAGAGAGAGGGAGAGAGAGAGGTTAAAGACTTAGAGGAGTGTGTACAACTCACATGGTGAGTGCGTATTCAGATAACCCTCACCGTGCACGCCAACGGTAACCATGTGAGTCTGCACAAGGCACACAAGAATGCGCTGGTTCAAATCCCCATGAACTCCTCCCCGCCCGGTCTCTCCGACGCTAAATTTATTCAAGAGAGCAAACTGGTCCAAAGCCCCGTTCTCTTAAAGCGAGGAGAGACCGTCCTACATGTGTCTAACTGTCTGTCTCTCTCATTTTCTGTCTCTCTCTCACACACACACACACACACACACACACAATACAATGATGTGAAATCAAAGGATCCGATCCAAAGCTTCATATGTGCAGAGACAACGCTCTACAGAGCCTGCAGACATTTACGACGATAAACACAAACTATAAACTTATTCCTCCTCTCTGCTCTCTACCTCTTGTTCTTGTGTAAAAGGCCTCCAAAAGCTGGTTTTGGCAGAGAGCCAAGTGGAGTCAAGAGACAAAAAGTGTCACCAGAGGAGAAGAAAGTCGACAGGCGGGAAAAAAAGGCTGATAAATACAAACTATCTCAACAGCAAGCGGGACGTTGATTTTCTGTCACATTACATGCAAACTTTGAAAACTGAAACAGTTTGGTGATTTAATTCTCAAAAATGTATTTAATCCAGTACTGATCAAATGATCATTTCCCTCTAATTAAGACTAATTGTGCTTTAACAGGAAAACTGAACTGACACTGTATGGGGTGGTATCTTCCATTAGTTCCCTCAGTCCTGCATATCGCCAGCCTTACTGTTTTAATTCCAGGACACTGAAGGTTACAATCAACAACTTTAAAACACTAGATGTGAGTTATCAACGATCCTGACTCACAAACTGATTCATATGAAAACTTTTATGAGACACTATAGCTGCTAATAACTGAAACAAGTTAGTTTATGAGACACTGAGTGAGCAGGTAACCCACCTGTAACTTTTTAAGACACATCAGACAACAGTCTAGTCTTCAGAACCTGAAGCATGAATCTAAACTAAAATGCACAATTTCAACACCTGTTCCACCATATGTGACAACAACCAGCATATAATATCATGTTAGCTACACTACAGGAAGCACTTGTTCTAACATCTTGGAAAACACAAAGTCGATGTGTACATTTAAACTAAGTAAACGTTGTATCTTGCAACCTGAATGAAAAACAGCCTAAAAAGCAGCACAAACAAGCTTAATGCAAATACATTTTTTTCCTAAATTCCGCAAAACTCAAGTCCAACAACTCGTGGAACGAAGATACTCGTTATCGGTGGTTCCAGTCAACTAGCAACCCTGAAAGAGTTGGCGACATCATCAAAAGTCGCCCATGTGATAGGATTCCACAGTGCACCTAATCAATCAGGGTCTGTAGCACGCCGCCCCGATGTGTTACAAAGCCCAAATAGATTTACAAATGGGAAGTGTGTGTGTGTGTGTGTGTGTGTTTGTGTGTGTCGGGGGTGTGGAGAGGGATAAGCTCCTGCATAGGATTACATATTGATTTTAAACATATAAAAAAGCTTATCATATCAAACCGTAACAGGAAAAACTCTGGGACCCGGCTATGCATAAATCCCTTTTAGATGGCGAGAGGGCGTCCACTTAAAACATGCACGCACACACACGCACACACACACAGGCCCTCGAAGGGAGCCAAGACACAGTTTTGTGTGTGTGCATACATAGGTGTGAATCAGTAAGCAGATAAAGAGGGCATAGTGGATCAATTTTGTGGCAGGGAGATGAGAGTGTGGCATACAGATGGCATTTTCCCGCCTGGCATCACACCAAGAAGGTACAAGAAGGTGGTTATCACTGAGCATGCTCATAAACATCAATGCTGTCCTGACAGCCGCCCCAACTGTTTTAGTTTTAATCAAACTCTGAGAACTTATTTTAACATTATTCTTATGGAGAAACACTGGCTCACTGTGATTTGAGGTTATACAGTTATTAAAGTAAATCATATATACTTCTTTTCTCTTTTTCTTTTATCCTGACTGTAATGCTCAGAAACTGTAATGATTTCAGTAATATGGCCACCCAGAGTTGTGACCCATTACTGAATTTACAATATAATTTGCTCTCTATTTGTGGGATTTTACAGTTTTCTTGCTGATGTGTTTGTTTTCTACACAGGCATCTGTTTATATCAATGCATCTCTGTACGTCCCTCTATTTCACTTAATATCTCAATATCTCAATCTAGTTGATGCTGATTGTTGAGATTAAAACTGCACCAAATAACTAATACTAAGAGTAATTATGATGTTATACAGCAATATAATTAGGATTAGAAATACAGGCATAAGCACTTCCTCTGTGCTCC